CAATTTTTTTTCCAACAATCTAATATGTGTAATTTCTTCATGTTTAGTTTTTATCAATAGAGTGAAAAAATGTAAGTTGGCAGTAAAATGTTCCTCAATAGCACCAATCAACTCCCACCATTTTCTGCAAAATTGTCAAACATTCCCCCGCAATTTCCCCCAAAATGTGCAAACCTCCCCGCAATGTTTGGCAAATATTTTTCCGCACTTTTCTGTTGACCCAGATAATTGGACAATAATAAGGCTTAACCCCTTCACTCCACCTCAGAAGAAGTTCTTCTTGAAAGCATCACTTTTATTAAGAGGTGTGTGATGAATAGCTGAAAAGCTTAGCAAATTGTTAATTCCTAAATCTTGCCAAAGAAAATATAGCAACTGTACAACAAGCCTTGAATTGGACTTTTAAAGAGATCTAGGCTTGGTTCCCAGCATTCCTCAACTGAAATCATGCGATAGAAGCTGGAAGCCAAGGACAGCACCATTAGAATTTTCTGAAAGTAGTTGATGACTTTTATAGTACATTTAAAACAGTCAGCTAAGCCACTCCAATATAGCAGCTGTTGCAACTGGACAGGGATTGTCTCTCAAGCTTAACCCTTTTTGTGCTGTGGATGGGTCATTTTCTCAAAGCAACGTTAAGTTGCCAGCACTGCACCCGGTTCCCTTTTTAAGTGCATCCAAGCTCAACCTGATCCAAAATGGGTAGTGAGAATTACGGGCGACATAAAAAGTAAGGTTTAAAAAAAAGTATTTAAAATTATTTGTACTTTTTTTTAAAAAGAAGTGTGGTAGTAATTTACGAATAGACTTTATTAGTGGTTAATATAAAGGTAAAGGAAACTGTAAAATGGAGAGAATGGGAGAAGAGAAGCCAAGTAGCTATTAACCATTTAAAAAATCTTTTTTGTTTAAAATTTTTAAACTTCTCACTACACTATCTTAATTTTCTGCGATGCAATGCGATTACAATGCTTACTAATAAATGCACAGTGGTGACAGGACAAAAGGCATTGAATCGCGGGAGATGTAGTCTTGACCCGTAACTGCTTGTCCACTGAGCAGCTGCAGTGACGAACTACTGGACACGTACTTACCAGCTGCATTGAATTACGCACGTGCAATGTAGACTATTGATTAAATTTGACTTTTTAAGACATACAGTTTATATACTGTATATACTGATACAGATACTTTGAGAGTTTTACTGAAGTAACAAATACGTGATTTTTTCACTTGTTGGAAATATTTCCAAAGTGATTACAAACAACCTACTGTCCTCAATTGCCCATGTACAATATTAAAAAAAAGTCCATTATTACTATTCCATCTGATTTTATTGGAGCCGCTGTTGTTTTTCTAGAACCATAGTAGTTTGCATTGAACTATATTCTGCTGCTATATATATAACTATATAGCAGAGAAGTCTAGTTGCTATGTTGGATCTCCGACCTACTATCCCCCTACCTACCTGCCCATACCCTCCGTTCCTCTGGCTCCGGTCTGCTCCACATCCCCCGCCCCAACCGCCCTACCATCGGTGGTCGGGCCTTCAGCCTCTCAGCCCCGAGGCTCTGGAACTCTATCCCCCAGTGCCTTCGCCGCCTCCTCCCTTTCCTCCTTCAAGGCCGGTCTCAAGACCTTTTTCTTCGACCGTGCCTTCAGCTCCCCTCTCGACTCTCTACCCTCTCCTCGCTCCCTCCCTTCCCTCCCCCTGACCATTTCCCCCCTGCTCGGGTCCCGACCCAACTGTCCAGCGCCTTGGGACGTCCTCCCGACGTGAAAGGCGCTCTATAAATGAAATCTTGTTGTTGTTGTGTGTTTGCTCCCATTATATGTCTTGAATTTTTGTGTTCTTTAGATGCAAAGTGGTCTAGGGTTGCTAGGTTATAATAGAGTAGCACCTTGAAAGGGGTAAGTGCCAGCATTTTATGTGTTATGACTCAAACTTAATTTAAGGCTTTGGGGTGTCGTAAAAATATATACTTGTGTATTTAAATTAGTTAATACAACCAGGATACTGGCTGTGTCCTCCCGACTCGAGAAGCCCCGACTCTAATCATTGAAGCATTGGGTATCAAATACCAAGCTTCGTGACAGTGTGTGTATATAGAGGGAAGTGGGAAAAATTGCTTGAGTCCCACCCTGTTACATGTTAGAATGTCTCGAGGGTATCCTCAGTCAACTATAATGTCTCAATCAAGTTACCTTGTCTTTTCAAACTCAGATCCACCAGAGCATAATGGGCACCTGGAAGTGAATTACTAAGTAGTAATTTAATTGAGGGGTTCAGATCACGTTGTCAAGAAACAAATATGAATTTATGTTCGTGATTTGTACCTCTCGATTGGATTATTACTTTAAATTCACTTGAAGGCATGTTATCATTTATAATATATGCCAGATTACTGGATTTCCCATAAAACCATTTTTCTTTCTATTCTGACCATGTGCTTATCTGACTTGGAAATATTTCCAATGTTTCAATTTTGAAGATGATGTGTGATTTAGGAGAATGGGTATTACAATGCTGTGAGGCAAGTCCAGACAATGTATTGAATGATGTGACTGGAGATTTTTTCTGCTTCGCGTCTGCTCTGCAGTGTTATCCGATGCATTGGTTACACAAAGATTTGATTCTTTGGAGATGTAGTTCTGATTGAGGTATTGATTCTCCCGGTTTATTGTACTGTAACAATGCTGCGTGCTTCATGATGAATTCAAAGAATAGGGTCAATCAATTGACCTTAAAATGTTTTTTTTTAAATTGACCTGCCCAAATAACTTGCAAACAAAGCTCCTTTGACTGATCCTGTGATCTCAGTACAAGTACATCAGATGCCTCCAGGGTGAAAATCCTGAATAATAATAATCCTTGCATTTGATATAACGTCTTATCACATCTTCGAGACGTTTCAAAGCGCTTCACAGAATATACTGTAAAGTGAATTGACTGTATATTTGTGGGCGAAATGAGGCAGCCAATTGCGCACAGCAGTGTCTAACAAACAGTCATGGATTGAGTAACCAATAGATTATTATTTTTTGTGAAGGAATTATTATCCCTGGAAAAGTGATCCACCAATCGACTAACAACTGGATTCCTACTTACTACTAGGTAAACAGGCATGTGGAGTAAGGAAACTTGCCCAACATTTTGTCCTGCTGGGAATCAAATCTAGGTCTCTCGCTTCCGTGAGGAGTGCTCTAACCCCGAGCTACAGGACTCCACAGTGTGCTTCCTTTGAGGTAAAAGAGGTATATTGAGATACTGTCTTCTAAACATTGGGAGTGTAGGGCAGCCCTTATGGAATAGTGGATAGAGATGCATCTTATGGAGCAGGAACTTGGTGGTCTGTGCTAAGTTTGCTGATCTCAGCAGCATTGCATGGGAAGCTAAATTGCCAGCAGGGAGGATGAATTAGGAGGATCGGAGGGACTAAGCAGTGTGGAGACTCCAGCATGAGCTAGTTGAGCCAAATAGCCGGTTTCCATGCTGAACAGTGGGAAAACAAATAATAATCCCTCCAAAACCAAAAACAATAATAAAATTGGTCATTTTCAATCTATGACTGTTTGTGGAACATTGCTGTGCGCAATTGGCTGCCGCGTTCGCCCACAAATATACAGTCAGTTCACTTTACAGTGTGTTCTGTGAAGCGCTTTGGGACGTCCTCCCGACGTGAAAAGCGCTATATCAAATGCAAGGATTATTATTTATTATTAAAACCAGGTTCCAAAATAAGCATGAATTTACAAATTCTCCAAAATTCCTGTAGAGTCTTCAGTTTTAAAACCATGGCATTAAGGCAAATACCAGTAGGTATTTTGATCCTCTGAACATTGCAGTTTTGATTCCTGGTCTGTGCTTTAGATAGCTGATATCAGCGGGATTAACTGTCTGTCGTAAGAAAGGAAAAAATCAGCTCAAATTCCCTCTCCTGATCACGCACCAATGATCCCTGCTGGAGAATGCGTGTGTTGGATGATGACAAAATTAGACTTTGTTCTAATGTTCCCGTTGGGCAGTCGGGTGTGGTGCCTGAGGGTGGAAAAAAAGACCCAGCACATATTGGCACTTTCAGGAAAGAATAGGGAGAAAAACACTGGCGATAGAAACCAAAAACAAATGATGCAGGTGTTTTTTGTTGATCCAGAAATATTGCGTTATTTGTTAAATAATACAAGTGGCTCCTTGTCCATTATTTCTAAACAAACTTGTTTCTTCATGAAAGAGAGAGTTATTGAGGCATCATTTTGGAACATTCTGGAAATACGCCGTGTTAGTGTGGAAATTAACTGGTGAAAACAAGAAGATCCGTGTTTGATAAATGCCTTTTTGATCTATGCTTTTGTATCTTCTGTTTAGAAAATTTGGATAGCAGAATTAATGGATTTTTTTGTAGTGAGTATTTCGATGCTTTGATATGGTTACAAATTGCTCATGCAAGCTGGAGCTAAGTCTGCGAGAGGAAGTCTGATATTATGCCCTCAACAAGTGTGGTAATTGTAAATGTAGGAATACAGCGGGCAGCTTTTGGCACAAAGCTGAAAGACGCCTTTGTGTGATCTGTTGGAGAAGGAAGACGCAACCAGCAGGCAAGGACAAGCATCCTTAACTCAAATGCAAACTGATAGGATTCATGTCATGTAAGTGACAAAGCCCTGGATATGTTGATAGCCTTCCTTAACTGATTTAAGATAAGTTTCATCCAGCTAGGATTGCTGAGCAGTGAATCAAATTAGCAATAGAAATCTACAAAACCTATTTGGGGAAGGGGATGGGTGGCAAGAATCACTTTTTGTAGATTATTAAAAAAAATGTGCTGTCACTTGAACATCATCCTTAATTTTGTACCAATCCAGGAATAGACCGACAGCTAATTTGTATTACAGATGAGCTCGGTTGCCTAGTGATGTGTGAACCATTCGTTCTGTCATAGGAACTGCTTTCTATCACTGAGATGATATGACTGTCTTCGTCTTTCTGTGTTATGTTTCAGATGATTAAAACCATCATGGAGCTCAGAAGCCTTTTCTGGTAAGTTGTTTTTTTTGTCTTTGTTCCCATCCCCTTCATTTCCTTCTGTTCCTTTAAACACAACTGAATTCAGTTCTGTTTGATCGTGTGCCTTCTATCCATTAAAATCTTTTTTATATTTTCAGTGGAAATATTAAGACAGTTAAGACAAACCTACCTTTCTTATTCGGGAAATATAATTTTGCTTTGTTTTGATGCTCGAGATGTCAATTTAAAGGAATGCTTGAGTAAAATATTTAAAATAACAAGCTGGGATGTTATCGTTCTTATTATACAATGAAACACATTTTATATACAAGCTCCAGACCCGTGTGTTATTGTTTACAAGTAAAAAAAATAGCCTTTGTGGCTTCAATAGCTTTGTTTCTTCACAGCCTTTTTGTTTTGTACCTTATAGAATGACTCTGGAGACGAGATACCTGATCCATAACGTTATCTGCTGGAACTTATGGAACTTAAACATGTAAGTGAATATTCCCCACAAAACAACTATGTATGTGTGTGTCTGTGTGTGTGTGTGTGTATAAACGTAGATATACTAAGACCATAAGTGAGTACAATCATGTACCAAAATGTTCTGTTTCTTGGATTGATAGGTCTGAACTACAAGGAATTTTTAAGTAATACAGGTGATTTTTTTTGTTTACCTACAATATGAAGTCGCTCACTTTTGAAACCGAAAGATAATAATAATCCTTATATTTGATAGAGCACCTTATCACGTCTTCGAGATGCCTCAGCACTTCACAGAATATACTGTAAAGTGAATTGACTGTATATTTTGTGGGCGAAACACAGCAGTCAATTGCGCACAGCAGTGTATAAACAGTCATGGATTGGATTAACAATTTTTCTTAAGGAATTATTACCCCCGGAAAAGTGATCTACCAATCGACTAACAACCAGGTTCCTACTTACTGCAAGGTAAACAGAGGCATGTGGAGTAAGGAAACTTGCTCAACATTTCGCCCTGCTGGGAATTGAACCCAAGTCTCTTGCTTGCGAGGCGAGTGCTCTAACCACTGAGCTACAGGACTCCACTGTATGATCAAACCTAATTCAGTGAAAGTTGAATGATTTGTCATTTGTAATGCCCCATTCCATGCACCATGTAATATACTTCTGGTGGCTTCACTCCTAATACTGCTTAACCATCAACATCTCCTTTGACCTCAAATAGAACTCTCATATCTCCCCATTAGTAAAATAACCTTCAAGAGGTTTGGCTCCTTTTGTGCCAAACTGTTATCTTTTATTCTGAGTGACTCTTAATTCTCTATCAGGTCCATGTTTTACAAGACTTGATGACTTGTCCTGTATCTAGGGAGATTCTACCAATGTGTCTTTTGCATTCCTGGACAGGATAAAGAGTTTGTTGTCGGATGAGTGAGCCTTCCTCACTTGCAGCCTCCATCCTTTCTCTATCAAAATGTTTCTTGTCCTTTATCTCTTTCTCTTTATTTTGCCTCCGCTCCTTCTAACTTTCCTCTCTAGCGTTTCCCAAGCTTCAAATGTGTTGAGCTGCATAACGCGCCCCCCCCCCCCCCCCCACCCGGCATTCCCACTGCTCAATTCAAAACTCACTGTATTATATTCCAACTCATTCTTTTTCTGGTACCTGTAGCTTGTGAAGCTCCCTACCACTAACAGTCTTCCCTCCCTCATACTACCTGTCTGGCTCTTAAACTCAACTGAATTGCAGATTTCAGTCTTTATCTCGATTCTGAATACATTGGTATTTTGTAGTTACAGTCCATAAAATACTAAAAACTGTGCTAAAATGCGACATGATAGCAATCCAAAGCTTCTTCATTCATTGCGCACATGCACAGAAAGACAGCCAACAACGTCGGTATTTCAAAATCATCCGCATGTGCAGTCACAATACGGAGAAAATGATGCTGCTGCCTTGAAGCTTGGCATTTCTTGCACGCCAGCCTGCTTACTAAAGAGCATATAGAGCCAGTGCAGCATTTTGGATTTTTGGGGTAAGTAAATAATAATAACAATCCTTGCAGTTGATATAGCGACTTATCACGTCGTTGAGACGTCTCAAAGTGCTTCACAGAATATATTGTAAAGTGGATTGACTGTATATTTTGACTGTATAAATGTTGAGATCCACACCGATGAAGCCCCCTATAACTCGGTTCTGCTGTAAAACGAAAACTGTACTGGAAGAAGGATTTAGGTGCAGACAATGTCATTTTAAGTTGGAAATACCAACTTACCCCTGAAGAGCTTATAAATTATTTGCCAGAATTAATACCAAACTTCATTAGATGTTTTCTGATCATCAAACATTGTGATCCCCTATTTGAAGTGAGCATGTTCAGAGCAGCCCACTGTGTTTGCATCTCTGTTACTAACTAAATATACGTTTTCACCAAACTGGACAATTCTTTGCCTTTTGGGTTCTTTCACAGATTAGCATGCTAAGAACAATTAGTATATTGGACCATACGTTATTCCATTGTCCACATCAGTGCTACTATAATTACTCAAAAATGCAAAGGTGATTTAGTACTTTCTCTTATCCAACTCTTTGGGGATACAATGGGATAATTCTATTTGTGAGCATTGAGGGTGTTTTAAGTGCAAGTAAGAGTATCAAAATCCAACAACCCCCCAAACTCTAAAGCATGGATTACTACCAGTCAAGAATTCTGTTTAACTAACAACACAAAAATGAACAATTCATCTTAGTGAGGGAATCAGTCTTTTTATTTCCAAGCACAGTAACAGACAATGCCTAGCAAAATGCAAATGAAGTGTGAACAACATTTCTGGAGTGTGAGTACGATGCTTCAGTGAAGCAGTTTATAGAAAAGAGACAATTACTGTATCAAAAAGCCATATGCTTACACCAGCTGAGCATCACAGTGTATGGCAGAAATCAACACGGTCTCACACAGCAAGACAGCTCCAGTGTACTGCAAGGAAGTAAGTGTCCAAATAATTTGTAAGAGATGATAATAATATTCCTTTTAATTGAAAGAATGCCTTTTATGTCGGGGAGATGTCTCAAAGTGCTTCACAGAATACACAGCAAAATGCAGTGACTGTATTTTGTAGGACTTAATCCACAATTAATTTTATGAGGGAATGGCAAACAGAAGTTGAGTCATCTAGAAATGATTTTTGTCCACAGAAAGCAAAGCTATTTCTACCCTACAGGTAATGGAAGAAAAGGTGAGGTGACCTCTTAATGCCATAATCCTCCACAAATTTGATTCCATTTATAAAATGTATCAATGGGGTCAAAGGTTTTCCCTTAAACTCCCCACCCCCTCCCCTCCTTCAAGGTGGAGAATGCTCCTAGGGATTCAGGATAGTGTTGTATACATCGGCTTCATTCAGCTTCACATTGAGATGCTATTTTTGCATTACTTTAGATATGACAGTATTTGCAACTGGATTCAAAAATAATTCATAAATATCAAACCCTGCAGATAACAACAATAAAATTACCTGTGTATGGCCCAAGGCGTTGGACAATCAGTGTTTCGGATCTGAGCTGGGGGTTGGGATCAGGGAGGGTGGAGGGCAGTGTGGGAAGGAGGATGATTGAAGGCACGGTTGAAGAGGAGATTCTTGAAGGAGGCAAAGGAGGGGGCGAGGCGGAGGGACTGCGGAATGGACTTCCAGAGGGTGGGGGCAGAGTGGCTTAAAGTTCGCACGCCAGTCGTGCCCGCTGAGCAGAGGGAGCGGGCAGGTTGGTAGAGGTAGAGGGAAGCAAGGCCATGGAGGGCTTTGAAGGGGAGGACGAAGTTCTTGAACTGTATCCTCTGTGTGATGGGAAGCCAGTGGAGTCAGGCGAGGATGGGGATGATAGGGTCACAGAGCCTGGTGCAGGAGAGGACATGGGCTGCAGTGTTCTGGATGATCTGCAGCTTGTGGAGGAAGGAGTTGTGGAGGCCAACAAGCAGGTAGTTTACAGTCAAGCCGGGATGTAATGAATGCCTGTATGAGGATTTTGGCGGCCTGCGGTGTGAGACAGTGGCGGAGCCTGGCGATGTTCAGAGGTGGGGGAAGGTCATGGCATGGATGTGGGGTAAAAAGGATAGTTGGGGGTCAAACAAGATGCCAAGGTTCTGGACTCCCTCAGTGAGGTGGAGTGTGCAACCATGGATGGTGATGCTGTCAGTGCCTGAGGTGAGGAGGTGCTGACGAGGGCCAATCAGGAGGGCCTCGGTCTCGTTGAGGTTCAACTGAAGAAAGTGAGCTCTTATCCAGGACTTGATGTCTGACAGACACTCTGTCAGCACAGCAGTGGTCCTGGAGTCAAGGGTGGAGGCAGAGAGAGAGAGTCATCCGCATACAAATGGAGTTAACCCCATGTCTGCGGATGATGTTACCAAGAGGGAGCATATGAATATTGAAAAGGAGGGAACCAAGGACAGAGCCCTGAGGAACGCCGCACAAGACGGTACAAGACAGCTAATCACCTTTCCAGAACAAAAAGAAACACAAAAAAGCTGTTTGGTATGACTGGCGCGGATAAAAGAAAAATCATACTACCTGGGTTTCCTCCTGATCACTGTCCAGTGACCGTAGGAAAAAGGTGCAAACTGTGAATGTTGGTGAGGGCAGGATTGGCTTCAGCCGTCATTCTCCCAAACCCAGGTGCTTGAGGTTTCCAATGTTCCTTCGTGTGATTGATCACCACTTGGGTGATGCTTTTTTTTGCAACTTTTTTAAAACCGTCTCTGAAAACATACCTCAGCCTGAGTCATTGCCTGAAGGGATGGAGCAAAATAGCAGAAGAGCCCTCGGGTGCTAAATGTGTTATGTAAAATACCTGCACACTTAAATGCAAATATAAAATCCACTTTTAAAAAAATACTGTGCAAGCATTAAAAAAGCAAACCTATTTATTTTGCATTAACAAGATTTTTCAAAATTGGGACACATTCACGCTACAGTGACATTTGCAGGTAATATATACTGTACTTACAGGAATGTTGCATTTTGAATGATTGTCATGTTCATCTCTCGACACCTGATCCTATGCTAAGACTATTAAAGCCCTGTGAATAGGTAATAAGATGGAATAGGGTTCTCCAATGTGCTGAGCCACAGAATGTGCTTTGATAGTGGAGGGAGAATTTGTTTTGTAATATTTCAATAGTTTTAATTAAAACCTAAAATCGTTAAAAAGTTTTTTTCATAGCTTTCAAGATCAGAGCTACTTTTATCCAAATTGAATGCATCTCCATCAGAATACATTTTTAAGAAGTATGTTTATAAGATATGTTAGCTAATCAATTTCCTGATCTAAGCCAACCTGACTGGACTGCTGGTTGGTTGATGGGTCTGCCACTGCACAATGCAGTGATAGTGGTAGAGGTTGTGGGTGGTTGTAAATGCACAGCTGCAATCTGTCCATATATATAATGGTGTCTCCAGCACTTTGGAAAAAGTACTTGGGACCATCATTCATTGAGCTTTATTAAATGGAGC